CAGGGATCAAACTCGGGTCCTTGCGCTTGCAAGGCAGGAGGTGGAACCACTGAGCTAAGTCCCCGGCCCTATCTCCTTTATATTTTAATTGGGCCACCTGCAAATACCTCTGTTCATATTTTCAATGTTGAATCAGTCCATGGGCTTCCTCTACTTCTGCACTTGATGCTGGAGCAGCAAGGGAACCACACTATGAAGAGATGTGGTTCCAAATTCAGGACCCTGTGTTGGTTCCATCCTCACTTCCTGTCATTGTGCTTTCACTTCTGTTCTGTGACCCTTTGAAAGCTTTTTCTGCTTTCCCCCATTTATTTATGTTCTCAGTCTTTTACTTCTTATTTCCTGCTGGATAGCCTTGCATTTCCTGTGGCCTCCTCCGCTGCACATCTCCTTCACCCATATGTGCCTCCACCTCTCTTGTCCCACAGAAGGTGCTCTCTCTTTCTGATGCTCACCCTTACATATGCATGCCCTGTTCTGTTCTCTTTTGCTTAGGCATCTCACTAAAAGTTTTCTTCTCTGATAGAGGAATGAATGTCCTCCTTTGTTCTCTTCGTCTTCCTCTCTTCTGCCTTCCCTCTTTTTTAATCCTCAACTTAAATCAATTTCTTTTCCTCAACATAAACACACTGATGTTCATCATTTTAAAAAATGCAAAAACCAGACCAGGGATTGAGCTCAGTGGTTTTGCTGCCTGCTTCACAAGTGCAAGGTTCCGAGTTCAATCCCAGATACCGGAAAAAAAAAAAAAAAAAAAGCAAAAACCTTCCCTCAGTCCTAATCCTATCTGCTTCCCTTTCTCTTGCTGTTTTGTACGCAAGTGTCTGGGAAGCCTGGACATACTTGGTGTAGACCTGGTTTGTCCCGAACTTGTTCAGAACCTTGTCTTCTGGCTGTCCTCCTAGCACTCCCACCAGCTGTGCTGACTTCAGTCAGTTTTAGTCACTGGGTCATTCTGGATGCTTTTCTGACCTTATTTTACTGAATCTCCTTGTCATTTGTATCCTCCTTCTTGGAACTCTCTCCCCCATTTGCAACAATCCCATTTTTTTCCCTCATTCTCTGGTTACGTCTGTCACTGCCCTTCTTAGTCTCTTGTACAGTTCTTCTTCCTCCACCTACTCTAAACATTACTCTTTTTCTGTGGTCCATTCTTAGCCTTACTTGCGTGTGAATCCACCATGCTCACAGATATCACTACTACTAAGAATTTTCTGTATCTCTAACTTTTACTGCTCTGCTCCTCCCAGTGCCCCGCTCATGTATGTTGCTTTTTTGGCACATCTTCACTTAGATGTCCTACATTTTGCCTGTAGTCACCTTCCACTTTTCTTCTGTACGGGCCCCAAACCTGAGAGTCATCCTAGGCTCTTCTTTCCTGCTGACTTGCGTAGCTCCCAAAAGCTGGCCGATTTAGCCTCCTTAACATTATGTCCCTTTCTCTTTTATTCCTTGGTTTAAGTGAATGATTATAGTGGATATAGTGGTTGGTAGTTATAGTAATTATACCTGGGGCAGTTTTGTCCTCCAGGGGACATTTGACAAGATCTGTAAATATTTTTGGTTATCATTTTGGAGGATGCTACTGGCATCTGGAAAGTAGACTTGGGATGCTAATAAACATCTGTACAGCACAGGAGATCTCCCCCAACAGAGAATTATTTGGCCCAAAACATTATTAGTAATTGAAGTTAAGATACCTTGGTGTATGCTGTTTTTTCTTGTTGGATTGCTGTAGCAGTCTTCTGGCTGAAGTCCTTATTTTTTGCCCTACAGTTCTTTTCAGTTCTGCCAACTGCCCAGTCTTGCAAGTAAATCTGATGTTGCTCTATATTCAGCAATGGTCCCTGCTACTTCAGATCAAAGTCTTATTCTTTGAGCATGACCTCTAGCCTGACCTACCTATTGGGCTTTAGTTTTTTGTTTGTTTGATTGCTTTTGTTTGTTTTTTTGTTTTGAGACAGGTTTTCACTATGTAGTCCAGGCTGGCTTTGAACTCATGGTGATCCTCCTGCCTCAGCCTCACAAGTGTTAGGATTATAGGCATGTGTCACCACACCTGGCTTGGGCTTTAGTTTTTAATACGACTTCATCTTTATTTATTCTAGAAATACTACAGTTTGTACTCTTGTTGCTTCTGTGTGGTTATCCCTAAGCTTATCTCTTCAGTGAGGCTAGTTGAGCACTAGCTGAAACATATCTTGTCCTATAAACCCTTCCCTGACACTCAAGATAGCCTCCGAGATTTCATTCCCTATTCCAAATGTACCATGTATACACATGTTGTATTGAACTATGTAGTTGTTTACTCACATGCCAGCCTCTACATCAGGCTGTGAGCCTCTGGGAAGTTGTCCGTCTTTTGTCTTCATAGCTCTATCTAGTTGGCGCTATGCATTAGTAAGTACTCAGTAAATCTTTTTTTTTTTTTATTAATTAATTTTGGGGGGGGGATGCCAGGGATTGATCTTGGGACCTTGTGCTCGCAAGGTAGGCAGTGGAATCACTGTGCTAAATCCCTGGCCTCATGTAAATCTTTATTGAGTTATTGCCATTTGTTAGATTGAATAAATGAGCTTTTAAATAAAGAGTCCTAGGAATTTTTTTTAAAAAGAGACCAATGGTATATATAAAATCAGTTTTACTTGAAGTTATTACTATAAAAAATCTTTTATATATAGCCTAAATATAGCTGTTCTAATTTGTTAGTAAAATTTAATATTTTATTTTGTTTTAGCTATTTGATGGCATTGAATGTGAATTTCCCATATTTTTTCTTTACATGATGATTGATGGTAAGTAAGCGTTTTCCTCAAATTTAAGCTGTAGGATATTAGTGGTTTTAAAAGAGCAGAAGTGAAACACCTCCTTTCAGCTAGCAAATAGACCACAATTTAGTGATGTTAACTGCTCAGCATTTTTATAAGCTACTCTTCTGTTTTCTGGGCAAACGTTGAATCATATAAAGATTTTTAAAATTATCCTGAAGTATTTAAAAATGATACTAACATATTCTTACTTACAAAAGCTTTTTATTAGTAGAAATCATGAATTCTGTAATCATGACATTGTGTCTGAAATATCTGTAACATGACCATAGAATCAAGTTCTTAGAAAATATCTGATACATTTGCTTTACTTTTCCAATTTTATTATATCATTTAACATAAAAAATTACCACAATTATTATGAAAGAGCTAATAGATTTTTCTAAAGTGAGTTTGTGGTGCTCATTGAGCACAGATGTTATTTGATTTTATATTTTACATTTTAGGAGTTTTTCGAGACAACCCCAAACAAGTCAAGGAGTATCAGGATCTTTTGATGCCAGTGCTTCATCAGACTACAGAAGGTACAGCTGTTATTCTAGAATGTTCTTATGAAGCATATAAATGAGTCCTTTATAATACACAATAATTTATATTACATTTTTAAAATGAAGGAGGCCTCAAATGAAATTAAAAAGAGTAGTCTCTATTAATTTATTTTAATAAATCTTTTAACAGTTAATACAGTAGGGCAGACAAGGCTAGAGATGAAATAGGCAATTGTGGGTATAGTGATGCTGCAATAGTTTGCATGTGGATGATTTTTTTCATCGGTTACTTATTATGTAGCTTTTTCATTCTGTGTAGTGTGACACAGAAAAGTGGCTGTTTTTTGTCCTGATCATCAAAAGGGCTATAGTCAAGTGAATGTCCTCCCTTACCCCTTTCCCATGCAGAAGATGCTTGGAGAGGCCCTTGTCTTGTCTGAAGCCACTGACATTGCCAAGAACACTCTAGCCTCATTTTTGGGGTTGCTTCTAAGGTCTGTAGCATTGTATTTGGTTTTTTTTTGGTTTTTTTTTTTTTGGTACTGGGGATTGACCTCGGGTCCTTGCACTTGCAAGGCAGGCCACCGAACTGCTGAGCTAAATCCCCGGCCCTGTAGCATTGTATTTTGAATATCCGCTACTGTGCTAAGATATCATCCTTTGAGTATGGGTATAATATTTTATAAATGGTCAAATTTCCAGTCTTGTGAGTCCTCACTCGTTTTAGTCAAACACTAGCAGGGCCACAAAAGAATATAATTGACTCTTCTGTATAACTGGAAAATTAATTCTCAAAGGTGTTCCACAAGAAATTTCTAGATATCTTTAGGATTGTAAATATTAAGTAGAATATGAATATTCTCATGAAAGAACAGCTTTTAAAATACATTTATATAGAAATTTAAAATGATGGTGTACTGGTAAGATGTATGTCTTTGTGATATTTGATGTTTTCCACAAGTACCTCAGAGTATATAGTTCATATTTTGTGCCCATCTTTTATAATTCTTGTAATGTTAAAAACTGTGAAATATTTATGTATAAACATTGGCTTACAAATAAATACTAATTTTTAAAAGAAGTTTATTTTAAATATTAAATACAAATAAATATTAACTTTTAAAAGCATGTATGTCTTTAACCTCTGAACATTCACTTTCTTAACAAGTTAAATAATGTAATGAATGTAATATCTGATACCTCTTGAATTTACTTATCATTGATCATTTCACTGGTTTTAGACATAGAAATCAGTATTGATTGAGGCTGAAAGAAGGAAGCAAAACTTTAAGGAAATCTTTGTAATTTTACTAGGAAAATTAACTTTACAATGGGTTGATATTACAAAATGTACACTAAAAAGATCCTACTCCTTAAATAATAGTTTACTTTCTACAAGGAATATTCAAATGAGTTAGTCACAGGGAGAGGTGAGTTTGTCAAATCTACTCTCTCCAGTACAATCATTCTCTTTGTTTGCTTTGTAGTAATTTCAGGGCCTTTAACAGAAATTTTAGGAAAGTGCTTTTTTACATTTTAAATATACTTATTCTTAAACCTTACAGGATATCCTGTTGTACCAAAGTACTATTATGTGCCTGCTGACTTTGTAGAAAGTGAGAAAAGAAACCCTGGTAGTCAAAAGCGATTTCCTAGTAACTGTGGCCGTGATGGAAAACTGTTTCTTTGGGGACAAGCCCTTTACATCATTGCAAAACTCCTGGGTAAGTGGAGAAGGTTAGGAACATTTTTCCCCTTTGTTATCAAGCTGTTAGAAAAAGTAGGTCTTTGCTGACATTTTTCTTGTATTTGGGTGGTATTTCATGCTGTTAAGAGGCCTTTGGGGAGTTTCTTAGTATGTAAAAGTGTATTAAAATATCTGTTTTGCTGAATGATGATGGACAATTTCTGGGAAGAAAGTCAAACAGGTATGGGTATTACGATCATTTAGGGTGCAGCATTCAGCTTAGTAGAAAGATTTCTAGCAAAAGGCTTATAGAACTTTGAATTATTTTTATGTGATACAATAAAACTTTGATTTAATGTAATAATCACCTTTGAACATTGTGTTAGTAAACTGCTTGTCAGGAGGAATAGGCCATCTTTGAAAATTCTTTTTTTTTCTTCCCAGTAAGTAAATGTTGACAGTTTTTCTAGTTAACTGAAAGCTTAATGGGACTATTTATTCATAATTCCTTGGAGTTACTTTTTAAATTCTCCTACAACTTTAAGCTGAATTAGAGTACTCTTAGATACATGGAAACAGTGATAAATTTGGTAAACATAAAAAATCACTAAGCGTCTTCTGTGCCAATTCTTGCTAAAATTTAAAATATTACTAGCGTTTCTATAAAAAGGGCTATCATTTTGGAATCTTTGTGTTTTGTTTTGTTTTTTGGTTCTGGGAATTAAACTCAGGTCCTTGCACTTGCAAGACAGGCAGCGGAACCACTGAGCTAAATCCCTGGCCCAAAAGGGCTATCATTTTAAAGTTAGAATTCCTTTATCACTAATAGTTATGAGGCAAGCTTTGTAAATACTTTATCTGCACTAAAAAATAACTGCTTACTATATGAAATATTGTTTTTGCTCTTGTTGTTTCTAACATTTCTATATAAATGCTAAATTAGTTTGTGCTGTAGGAGTAATCAAAATTGGTTTCTTTTTTATGTTCCATTAGAGAGGATATTTCAAACACCAGATTTTCAATTTGAGCTTTACATACAAGAGCAGACAGAAACAAAGAAGATAAAATTATGTTAATGCTTTTTCAATTTGCTCCTTCCTTAATGATATTTTTGGAGTCTCTATGTGTAAACTTAATACTAATTTAAGAACATATAGAAAAACTTTCTTTAAAAGGGCAGCTTTTTTTCAAGAACTTGATATTTACAGGCTTTGCTTTTAGATTTTTCAAAGGGAGTAAAAGATATACATGAAATAGTTTTCTTAGAATCAAGCCAAGTTTGGAAAGGTTATTTCTGGTTAGAATGTGATTTCCATCTTATTAACATAAATATAGAGAGGCTTTTTATTTGACAAATTTTTCTGTGATTCAGAGCCCAAAAACTGACACGTGGGTCCTGGAATTTAAAGTCAAAACCCTTACCTTCCTATTTTTGCTAAATGTCCAGTTTGGGGTTGATACAGTTAAAAGGAGTATTGCTTGAGCAAAGAAAGGCTTTGAATAAAATTGATAAGGCTAATGAGTTGGGAATACAGAATTGAGTATACCTTCCATAAGCAAATTGAGCTTAAAAAAAGAAAAATGTAGGTATATATATTGATTAATTGATGGTCAACATCTTTAACAATGAGAGAAATGCAAATCAAAATTACATTGAAATTCTCCTTTATCCCACTCAGGGTGGCTAGCATCAAGAATACAAAAAATAGTGAATGCTGGCAAAAGGAAAAAAAGAAAAAGAGTGACAGTAGTATCAATCAGTAAAAGCACTGCTCCTTCCTTACTGCAAAATAAAAGGAGGTGAATCTGAAATATAGGTAGTGTTTTCTCATGATAAGACCAGAGTGCACATGAATACTACAGGTTATGCCTTCATTCCTTGTACATGACCAAAATGAAGCAGAAATACTGCGGGGCTCCCTTAAAAGAGGGTCAGTTTCTCTTTTTCCCTGCTGAGCTTCTTAAAAGACAGTGGAGAACATGCAGAAGGTATATGAAATATAAAATGACATACTGACTTCCTGCTGATAAAAGAGATGTTATGTACTCATGAATACTTTGCCTGAGCCATGTGTCGTCTGGTTAACAACTCACTAGTTAGGATGAATGAGATTTCAGAAGATGGAATCATTTAGTTGCTCTTAACTACTGCATACTTCCCTCAAGAACCATAGGACATCTGTAGATTTTTATTAAGACAGCACATATACTAACAAAAATCTTATTTATTCATTAAATGAACCTCAGATATCTGCTTGACACCATTCTGTAGACAATTAATTAGAGTCAGTGTTTGTTACATGAAAGTAATCATCTTCTAAAAAGTCACTTGAAGATCATTATCTTTGGACTGAAACATTTTTTGAGGTTCTGAATACCAATAGATACAACATTAATGATAATTTTATTCTAAAACTATCCTGCATTTTTGGGGGGTGGGTAGTGGTGATCGAACTCAGGACCTTGTCCTTGAAAGTCAAGTGGTAGTACCACTGAGCTAAATCTCAGCCCCTCTAAAACTATTCTAATGGCATGATATAGCATACATACATACATACATACATAAATACATACACACATATATATATATATATATATATACACATACACACACACACACACATACACATATTCTTACTTGTTGTATATCTGTCACTTAGCTTTAAGAAATTTCACTTCTAGCTTTCAGCTTGTCTTTTTATTTGTTTGTTTGAGTTTTGGTACTGGGGATTGAACTCTGGACCTTGTGAGCCAGGCACAATGCCGCTAAGCTAAATCCCGGGCCCTTAGCTTGACTTTTTAATATGCATGCAAGAAACATATCTTGTATAGCAGACTTTTACAGGGACGACCTTCGTTGAGCTACTATTAGAAGATCCCAAATCATTACAAATTAGAACTTTATATATTATGTAGTTTAAGGAAGGTAAGTAGATGAATTTTATAAGGTGGATATTTTGAAAACATTAATAAACAACATTTAAAATAGGACATGTTCTTTCAGCTTGAACAGTTTTAAGCAATCTTAATTAACTTTCTCTCCCATACACACAAACTCCTAAAATTTGATCTTGCATTAAAAGAAAGGTCTTTTTTTTTAAGTTTATTAGTACATTTTAAGTATATGATATGATGACATTCATTATTGGGAATTTGTACCTTTACATGATATATCTTGTTTCTTATTTTTTTTCCCATTCCCCTGCCCTCCTTTCAACTCCTCTACCCCTCCCTATTTACAAAGACTTTGTTTACATTTTTTCCTTATTTCATATTTATTCCTTTCCCTAGAAGAGATCTTTTTTAAAGAATGGGTATTATTTCATTCCCTTTGTTTACTAATATTGACCTTTAAAGTGATTAAATACATATAGAAATACTTTAAAATATTCAAAATATTATATACATATAAAAATCCACATGTGAATTTTTTTGTTTTCTAAATTCCTTGATTAAGTCATTATTTGGAGTCAAATTTATTTTCCTGTAGACATTTAGAGTGGTTATTAATATCCAGTAAATTTGTAACCATGAGATACAGATTATTTTTCTACCTTAGGTTTTTCTTTTACTTCTCTTTTGTTTTTTCTTTGTTTTCTTTTCTTCTTGTTTTTCCTGGAGTGCAGGGGAAATGTCAGTGGTTTTGAGATCATAAACTTAAAAATCAGTTCAGAGTTTGTATACAAGTTCTACCACCTCTAATACCTAACTGACTTGAAAAACTTACTTTTAATTTCCATGAAGATCAATTTCCTTCTTTTACAAGGATTAGCTAATGAGGAAATACACAGAAAGCATTTACTTTACAAGAAATATATAGTTAAATGATTTTTCCAGATCCTGTCCTTTGTTCTCTCCTCTTTTCCTCTCAGCTGAATTTAGGAAACAGTATATGAAACATACATTTCATAGCTTTGTTCAGGCAGGCAATCGGGATGCACATGACCTCTTCTTGTAGGTACACTGTAGCCACAAAATTAAGGAAGAAAAGAAGAAAGGGAGGGAGAAGGAGGAAGAGAGAGAGAGGGAGGGAGGGAGGGACGGAGGGAGAGAGACCTTGCTCAGTTGCTGTTTAACCATTCTTCTGCTCACTGATTCTGTTTTTGGAGACCTCCCTTTTGCTAGTCACCATGATAATCCACTGGCTTTATTACTATAGGGTCTATAGTAAGACCAATGACACATATTTCTCTTTCTAAGGTCAGCCTAATTATTCTGATGTATTATATTCTAAGTCTGGGGTTTGTAACAAAGCTAAGTCTATTTGATTTTATTTCATACATGATGTTTCTTGCCCAGTTGACCTCAAAGATAAAAGCCACTGATAAATCCTAGAAATTCTTTTTAAAGTTATTGATCAAATGCCTCCCATTGTATATGAGGACACATGAAACTGAGGTCTTTTCATTGGTCTTCAAATACATCTGACTCTTTACTTAGGATATCACATGTTACTTATCAGTTAAAGATAAAATAAGTAGGTAAGAGTAGACAGATAACATTTCTACATTGTTACTAAGAAATTTCCTGGGTGTTACACTTTAGGAAACTTAAAGCAGTAAGTCATCGATTTCCTAGCAATTTCATTATCTTTTTCATGGTGTCCGTGTGAATGCTAGTGACCTAAATTGGAATTTCTACACAGCAGGTATGTACATTTTGAGAACACATGTAGTATTACATTAGAAGCTGTTCCTAGAAAGATTTTCTTTCTTTAGCTCATTGTAAAAAATAACTGGCCTTTTAAAAACTAAAACATTGTAGTTGAATTTCTCCCAGAGCTAAAAATGTTCATAAAAATTGTCCTACCCCCAAATTTACTAGTAAAAATGATTGATTATAAAAGCAGTGATTCCTCAGAGAGTCTGAGTAGGTATTTCATATGTTGTCACACTGTCTCCCAGAAAAGCTAATGGTAATATCCAACTAAAAGTTTGTCACTTTCTGTGATTGTCTTCTACGTGTACTATTATTATTCTTCTTACTTCTCTCTGAGATACTTTGTGGCACTGGTGAGGAAACAGGCCCAGAAGACTT